GTGCGATTTCAGAAGCACTTAAATGCTTACTGTCATTGAGTTTCATTGAGAGACGTGGGCACTGAGTTTCACTAAGACATGAGCGTTTAAATCCCATTCTGAAAACGGGACTTGGGGTCCTTGGTCATTTAAATACTTTTGATATTTTTACTGCTACATGTTAATTTTAAGCACAAATTTACAGGTTATTCTGTTGAAGAAAGGAGTTAAATCTGTTAGTAGGACATGCTTTATATTTAAAGTTAAATGTGCACAGAAATGCTTTCTGAATATGCATACTTTTCTGACTTCTGCCTCCTGCATCTGGTAAACTGATTAGTTGTTTTAAATATTCCAGACTATTAATTGTTAGCCTGCATATATTTTCCCTTATAAGCATTCATAAATAATAATGCATAGAAGTATGCAAGAGGAGTACCTTGCATTTTTCAGTATTGAATGTCATCAGGTTTTTATCCGCCCATTTTCTGAACCTGTCACAGTCGGCCTGGATCACTAGCCTATCCTCAGGTGTGGACTCTTTACCCCAAAGTTTGGTGTCATCGGTGACCTAGGCCAGTCCGCTTCTGATACCAATGTCCACATAGTTAATAAAGATGTTAAAGAGTATAGGTCCAAGGATGGAGCCTTGGGGGACACCACTGGTCATGGAAGGCAAATCATCATTGTGCTCCATCGATTTACCACTCTCTGGGTCCAACCTCGGAGCCAGTTCCCCAGCCATCGGACTGTGATGTAGCCGAGGCCGCAGTTGGCCAATTTTTCCCTGACGAGGTCATGGGACACCAGATCAAAGGCTTTTTTAAAGTCCAGATATATGATGCCAATCTCTTCTCCCTTGTCCAGGTGATATGTCACCTTGTCATAGAAGGAGATGAGATTGGTCAGGCAAGATCGACCCACAACAAACCTGTGCTGGCTGTCCCTCAGGATGTTGCCATCAGCCAATTTGTCAAGAATGGTCTCTTTGATAATTTTTCCAAGATCTTCCCAGGGTTGGAGGTCAGGCTGATAGGCCTGTAGTTCCCCAGATCTACTTTCCTCCCTTCTTGAAGATAGGCACCACATTGGCTTTCTTCCAATCTTTGGACACTTCACCTGAGTGCCACGAGTTCTTGAAAATCCTTGTCAGTGGCTGAGCTATGATGCCTGCCAGCTCCTTAAGTACCCTGGGGTGCAAACTGTCCAGACCAGCTGACTGGAAGGTGTCCAGCTTTCAAGGTGTTCCTGTACATGGTCTACAGTGATGCAGGGTAAAATTTCACCTTTGCCCTGGCCATCCCACACCCTGTTGACCAGGGCGGTCCCTTGGGGTTGGATGCAAAACCGATGCAAAATACCTATTAAGCAGGTTGGCTTTTTCCTGGATGTCAGTTGTCAGTTGTCCCATCTGGTTTAGCAGGGGTTCAATGTTACCCTTGCTTTTCTTCCAACTCCCCACATATCTAAAAAAGGACTTTTTATTGTCCTTGATATGTGTAGCCAGTTGGGGTTCGGTTGCAGTCTTCGCTTTCCTGATCCACTTCTTACAGGTCTGGACCAGTACAGAATACTCCTCCTTTGTGGTAATTCCAGACTTCCATCCTTTATAGGTCTCTCTTTTTAGATGCAGGTGGTCCACAAGTTCCCTGCAGAGCCAAGGGGGTTGCTGTGCCCTTTTGCTACCTTTCCTCAGAGATGGGATGGGCATTGCTTGTGCTTTCAGGATCGCTCCCTTGAGGAGCAACCACTCATTCTGAACTTCCCCCCGGTCAAGTCATGGTCCCTTAGGAAATCACCATTAGTTTTTTAATTCCACATCTGGGGATGATCTCCAGCTCTCTGGTTTTCCATGGTTCTAGGTTTTGCCACCTGTTCACCTCACTTTGTGTCAGATAGATTTGCCTGAATCTGAGTTTCAGGGATGAACAGAAATTCCCCTATCAAAACCAATAGCTTTGACAGTGCAGCCATGCAAAATCCATGGGGATGTATATAAAATCCTAGGTGAGTTTCTTGTTATGTGTGGTTTCATTTGGCTATTTTCTGCAGCAGCAGTTATACGTACTGTAGTGCTTTCATAGGGCCAATTTTATTCATAGGGGAACACTGACCCAGAAGAATTCCCTCTGGGAGGTGGTTTGGCACATTCTTTTGACTGTACAATAGATCTATTTCCATCTCTACTTAATTACTGAAGCTGGTTGATGAAACACCAGTTTTGCCTTCATGGTTAATGGGGTATTGTAACAGATCAGTGTAGGAGCATGATACTGTACATTGGTTTGTAAGTGTAGCCTCTTGGTATGAATGCCAGCAAGGGCCATGGTTCACAGGGTTTTGTTTTGGATCTGCTTTGTATTGGATTTCGAGTATGCATAACAACATATTGTCTTATGTATGCTACAGTGGGAATGACAAAAAGCCTTGACATTTCCACTTGTGGTAGTTTAATTTATGATCATCTTTATGGAAGTCCTTATTATCAGTAAACTGAATCCTACAAATATGGTAAGAGGCTAATAATGGAATATAGAAAATGTCAAAATGCCTGTCACAGTGTATAAGGGCAAGGGTGAAATGCTGACCTAGAGTAAGCCATTGGAGCTGTGCTTTTAAATACCATAAGATTGGTTGAGGAGAAATTCACTCACTAGACACAGTAACACCTGATTCTGATCTTACATGGGCTCTAAGGTGGGGAACTCCTTTGATGCCTCTTTTTGCTTAAAGTGTTGTGTGATCCCAGGGCCCATCATACTTCAGGTAAACGTGTGTAATATGTGGGGGTTTGTACATCTCTGTGCATAGGAGAAGTCCAAAATCATACCAGGGCTGGGAATTCTAAGTGTCCCAGACAGTCCTGACCTTTGTGATGGTCCTTGCTGTAGCCCAACACTGGACGCTGAACCGGGGCATTCAGAACAATGCTGTAGAGTTGAGCTGAAGTGCTTAGTTGTAGCAGTACAAATGATACAGGATCTGTATTCTCTACTCGGAATTAGCTGCTGAGGAGATGTGTCATCTGCTCACCAGCAGATAACAATTGTGCTTAGTGCCATTGAGTGCTGTACAAGTATGGCTGGGAGACATGACATTGAAGTGCAAATATATCAAGTGTAGGTGACCTGATGAGACATGACAGTAAAGTGCAAATATATCAAGTGTAGGTGACCTGAGCTGTGTTGGCTTAGGCTCATCTGTGTAACTCAGATTAAGCACAGTTGATACATAACTGAAATATAGTGAAAGCCCTAAGGGCCATGACTGATCTTTGCTCCGTGAAAGATTTTCTCAGATTCCTTGCCTTACTCATCCAGTGCTTTCCATGCGCTGTTCTTTGCAAGCATCTAAATGAATAGGAAACCAGCTTTTCATTTGCTGATGTTTATGTTTACAGCTCTCTGATCTGTAGTGAATTAACATGAAAGTGTCTGGGATTTATAACAAGCAAGGGTCTTTGAGTAGAGGTGATATCTTTTATTAGACCAACTGAGTAGTTTGAAAAAAAGTTCTTAGCAAGCTTTCAGGTGTAGTCACCCTTCATCAGGCATAGGGAGTCTGCTGTTCTGAGACTCCAAGAAATGAGAAGCTAAAAGTGTGGCAGGATGTCAGTGAGAATGTAAATAGGTAGAAATAACGGCATGTATAACGGCACTTTTTCTATAGGAAAAAAAGTTGCAATAAAGCTGTGAGGGTTTGTTTTTCTTTCTTTTCTTTTTTTTTTTTTGCTGTCTCAAGGAATGACACTGCAATCCAATCCAAGCCAGCAAAAAGAATTAAGTTAAGTGGCTGTGAATGATCATTTCGGATAGCCAGACACTGTGTTGATTTCACTGGTTATAAAGGAAACCAAGGTAAAAATAAGCCCTAGAGAGTGGGAGGCTTTAAAGGGTCCCAAGGAAATCAGGTGCCCAAAGACCAGGATCTTCCCTTTGAAAATCTCTGCTGCCCTGGCTCTCCAAAAACCAGGTGCGGAGAACCATTGGGTGGGCTCTGCTCCTCTGCCCTCCATGAAGAAGGTATTGGTTTTACCAGACTAGTGGATCAGGTGCATTTATCAGCCAACCTCCAGGTTCTTTCCGGGGGCAGGGGGCTACAGATGGGGGCATTAGGTTTTTTCTAATCCTGTCAAATTCGTGCCCCCGATGCTGCCAGGGGTCTTCGCGGACGAGAGACAGACTTCGGCGTGGCTTAGGTCGGATACCTGCCGGCAGAGCCAAGCCTTGCTGCTTCCTAGTGGCGCAGCCATTGCTTCCGGGTGCAGGGAGTCTGCAGGGGTGGGGTTTTTCTTTTCTTTATTTTTTTGGCTTGGTGGCTTAGCCGTGCCTACGAAACCCGGCAGAGCCTCCGCGGGGCGGCCCGGGCAGTCGTGCTGCTGCCCAGCTCCCCTCCGCGCACAGGCACGTTCCTGGGACCAGCCGGATGAGCTTTATCCCGGCTGTGTCCGCGACCGGGAGGTGCCGGTGCAGCCGCTCCAG